CATAATTTTGTGACTAATATTTTAAGTTACATCTGGGAAGGTAGTTTCTTTCTTGCAGTGATTCATCTAGTTATTATATTGTTTTTGGGGACGTAATTGTTTCGTACTTTTCAAATTTTAAAATTGTTTTTTGTTTCTTTTAAAGGTTCATGGGAGGTTTTGTGTGAAGTTGCGAAAGAAACTGCAGTACGAGGAAAGAAGACAATCAAGTCAGAGAAGGGTAATTTTCACTTTTTTTTTAACGAAATTTCTGATCTTTGATGATGTTTTTTGAATTATTTTTCATTTTGACATATTTATGCATCTGGGTGATTCTTAGAATCTGATTCTTTTGGTAATTGTTGTTTCCAAAAGTGGGGAATCCACTTTTTAGAAGCCTGATTCTTTCTGGGAGGTTACTGTTTTCCTTTGTTCTGGGCAATTGGATACTTTAACAAAAAGGTTGATATTTAAACTCTTTTCTTGTTGCAATCTTTTATCCGCAGAGAAAAAAACAAAATATGATGGTCCCACCTTTTCGTTCACTTGTTCTCTCGTAAATATTTGGAGATTAGATTGGGTTCTGGATTCTTGATTTAATTCCTGCAAACTGTCCTTTTAATGCTTTTCTTTGTTTCCTTTTATGTCCAGGCACTTTCAGATTCTGAAACGGTAAGGTGGTTGAACCATGTTGTTGAAAAGATATGGCCCATATGTATGGAACAGATTGCGTCACAGAAGATTCTGCTTCCTGTCATACCCTGGTTCTTGGTAAAGTACAAACCTTGGACTGCTGTATGAATCTGTTTCCTCTATGTTTTATTTCAAGTTCTTTGATTATTCTCTTTAGTCCTTGATGAGCACTGTTTCAGGATTCTGATTTTGGTTAAAGTAGGTTCTAAATTTTGCTCAGGTTAAAGAAACTTTGTTGACCATATGATTTGTTGCATATTCCTGCTTCTGTGGTAACCAACTCATTGTGTTAGGGGGATCAGGCACCAAATTTGGTTTATGAGCAATTCACTTTTCATCTTTCTAATGTACAAGTTTTATGAATTGCCTAGTTTGGCATATGATTAATTGCATATAGTGGTAAACTTAGTTAATAACAGAGTATTTATTCTGAGACGATGATAGGTAGCTGGTTGTGATTTTTATTTTCTGGTCCAATTTCTGAGCTGTTGCTGATTACACACCTTCATTTTATCTGCAGAAAAAGGCTGAGGTTCAGCATCTGTATTTGGGAAGAAACCCACCCATGTTCACGGAAATGAGGGTCCTTCGCCAATGCTCCGGTGATGACCACTTGGTATATCTTCTTTTTAGTTCCTGTATGTTTAATCTCTATTGCTCCAATTTGTTTGCATTTTTAACAGTTGCTTACAAATTTACAATTGTGTATATGCAGGTGTTAGAATTAGGAATGAATTTTCTCACAGCAGATGACATGAGTGCAATACTTGC